TGCTTGCATGGAATTTTACAGCAGCTTAAGAACACATTATGGATGCCATATAAATCTGGTGCAGAATTCTAACAAACTTGAAAAGGCCTCAATGGTTCATGGTTTTTATAACACCGTTAATTTATCACACAGTTAGAAAATGTCACACTTTGTATTACTATTTTTCCTTTAGAGCTCAGAGTACAACATGTCATTTTGTAAGTTATGTTCTTGTTGACTAGATTTTAAAGCCCCAGTTACCGAGGCAGTACTGTATATTATCTCTTAAATAAGGGTATCAAGAAGTCATAAATAGACAAAGAGCTGCAAAAATACTGCCTAACCCAGTGATTTTGTTTGGGGGGGGGGGGTTCTCCTTATCAGTCCAATGCAAGCTGAAATAGACATTTTATACTTCTGACCACTTTTTTACTCCTACAAAATGGGCATCTGATTGATTTTTTCTGAACATTTATGGTACAAATCAGTTAATAAGGTGCCTTTGGGGATCAAATTTAAATCTTCGGGGGCTGTAATAATATCTTAAAATTCTTTGCTATAGCAGTGACTTCCTACATTAAGTCATTGATAAAAGATCAATCCTGGAAACATGATTAGTGAATGGGTATATAGCAATAGAGTCTACATCATGTTGATACAGGAAAGCAATGTACATTAAAGCATCCCTGTCCAGTGTAGTGGCCAAAATTATTCAACTAAATGTTTTTAATGCAGAGTTCTAGTTGAAGTTTTTTTTTCATTTACAATAGGTTGGCCTGTTCATATCAGCATGTTGGTCTTCTCTCTTCTTCTTCTTCTGCTCCAAAGCTAGGTGTTATTTATTTCTGCCCATACTGGTATGCATATTTGTTAACACTTTTGCATATCTTTTCAGACTTCTTGCCATATAAATTTGATTGTTCTGTCCTTAGATTTAATGATGCTGTATTTTCCCCCTAGAAAAAAGGGATACAAATCACACTCTTAGTAAATAAAAATGCACTGCCATAAAGACAAGGGGAATAAAAAGGTTACAAACCATTATGCATAAGAAAGAGTATTCTTTTAATAGAATTGTTTTTATAAAGGCCCAGAAAAAAATTAAAAATGCTATATACAGTATATGCCTAAAAGCCATACAGATGGTAATGCATGCATGGTTTGTAAAATGGACAACAAATATGAGGGCTTGAAGGAGGAACAAAAATTGATTTGAATTGAAATTTGAATGCAATGTATACACACAATTTTGGATTTATAGTTTGTACAGATATGAAACCAACATAAAAGTGAAGCTGGTGGAATGTGGACTGATGTGGTGGTGGTCTTTATAGTCTCCCGTATTGTATTGTATGCTTAATTTATATTATATTTTGTATTGAAGCCTGAACTTCAGAATGTTGTATATTGCTTTAATGATTTTTGTAGACCTTGACAAAGTTCTCATCTTGATTAAATCATACAAAGTGTGATCTTTATACATGAATCTTAATATAAAAGATTCTTTTTAAAAACCATACACAATTGCTATAAATATCTAATATCAGAATTATAAAATACATTATCCATAGAGTTAATGCTTGTTTTACTTTTTGGCATCTAAGGTTGGATATTTCAAAATGTGTACTATAAAATATAGAGGCCATAATATATTTTTTCTGATATTTGAACCATGTCAATTATGTAAATTTTCAAATAAGGTCACAAGAGGCTTATGCTGTGTAGTTTATTCTTTTTTATTTTTCAATAAAAGGGACAAAATGGGTATATGAACAGGATAATGCAGACAACTGCCAAAAAAACACAGACAGTGGTTTATCCAATAGAAATTAACAGACCAGAAACAAATACAATAAAAGCCAGGTTTGCATGACCTTTGGTCATCAAAATAAAATAAAAAAATAAGAAAATTTTTAAAAAGACCAATATATGTGCCTTAGTTTTAAACAAAAGCACATAAGCAATAATAAATAGTGACTCCCATAGTAAAAGATAAAATTTCAAGTTACGACAAACAGCTTTAATTACATGAATAGAAAAGGCCAATAACAAAATATTCTGCATTGCCATTTACAAAAAAAAAGTATTGACTTTAAGTGATCTTTTACCTTAATATGCTTTGCATATGATTTTTTTTTCCAATCTAAATATAAAGCACCATTTTGTTTTTTGGCAATGAAAATAAAATTTAAAATGTGTGTTTCTTTTACTGCACATGACAATTTGATGCTGGAATGTAGGGTGAAAAAAGAGGGACAGAAAGCACACTATAGAACAAACCAATGCCATCAGCTTGTGGTACTGTATACAGTATGGCAGCCAGAGAAAAGAACAAAATAAAGATATGTACAGCCCTCTCTAAGACGGCTCCTCTGCATGACAGTTTAATTGATATTCCCAACCAGCCATCATATGGCTTCTTTACTGTACAATGTGTTTGATTTTTTTTTAAATTTTCTTGTTTTGAAATGTACAAATAGTTTGTACTATATTATCCTGCCAAAATAAAAAAAAAATATATTGTGGCAGCTTGTGTTTTTTTTTTTCTCCACTACCATAAAAAGGTACCTTGATACCTTTTCAAAAAGAACAAGCAACTGTTAAAAATACAAGCTTCGATATAAATACTATAGTTCCTACACTAGCCAAACATTTAAATTCAAATACCATTCTAAAAATACAGGAAAAAAAGAGAGACAATAGATGTGTTTTAGCATAGGAATCAACATGAGTGTGCATTTTCCCTATATTTAAGTAATATATAATAAGGAACTTCCCCCCCCCCCCCAAAAATGCACTTTTTTTTTTTATACAACCTGAAAGGATCGGATTCGGGAGATATCCAAGGCATAGAAATTCCTCTACCATTTTTATTTGCAATGAGTAAGTCTTCTACTAAACAATGAAGCCCTAAAATACAGTCACCCTAAACAAAAGTGATGCTTTCTTAACAAAATGAAAATAAATCCACATTTTTATTAAAACTGCTTTTGTACACCAAAATACCCCTGTAATGTAAAAGCCAAAGCAATCAGTTATTTTAAGTACTTGTGGTGGTCTGTTTCCATTCACAGCATTGCCTACATGTTTTCTGTTAGTCAAGTAAATAACTGGCAGAAATATATATATGTGTGTATATATATATACATATATATATATATATTTACACACATACATTATGTATGTGTGTGTGTGTGTGTATATATATATATATATATATATATATATATATATATATATACACATACACACATATATACACTTGCACACATGTATGTGTGTATATATATATATATATATATATATATACATATCGGTTTATGTAGGTGTATATGTCTGTATGCGCATTTATGTGCATACAATCATTTTTTATATATTTATATATATTTTATATAGTTGCAATATTTCCCTCATGTGTAAGTCTGTAAACAGGGAAATTCGTACAGTGCATTTAATTGTATCTGAGCATTCTTTATACTCAACCACAGTACCTCTAATTAAGAAAAAAAAAAAAGGTACACATTTTTCTGGAAGAGTCAAGTGCTATTTGAACACCAGTTGGGGCAGATAGTAGCTTAATATTGAAACATTGAAGCAATGTATCTGTGTATCCTTAATAATGGTAATACAGTGCAAAGAAAAAAAAAAAATTTCAGGAGTAAGGATAAAAAAATTTCAGGAGTGAAGATATAATGTCATATAGCAATCTTATTTTAAATGATGTTTCCTTTTTCTTATTTTTTCCATTTACTTAAAAGGGGTATTTTCAAGGCAAGCCTCAAGAGTTCATAGTTAATCATCATTATATCTAGCTTATATGCCTGTTTCTTTTCAAATAAAAAGGTACCACTTTGTGTCCATATCTCTATTGTGCCACTTGATAGCATATAATTATTAGCTAACTTTCCATACAGTGCAGAATTTGAGAACATGATTGTCAGTCAGACAACCACATATATTAATAATAATTTACTCTAATTTTTTTCTCCTTTTTTTCCAAGGTACTTACAAAGAGTCAATAAAATTAATCTCCTTGCCATTATATTCTAGTTTAGCTTTAATTCAAAGTTTAATCACAAAAACATTAGGTAACATTGAAAAAAGGAGACTCAAATTCCTTCAAACCTGACAGCAAGAGCACCTAGCTTACATATCATTAAATAAATATAATGGAAGAATGATGATTAACTAGAATGTTCTAGGTCATATTTTAGGTAGCCTCAGTTAAAAAAGAAATACAATATATTATAATTATACATTAGATCAATGGAGACCTACACATATCCATGTTGAATTAAGCTACACTGTCATTTCAACATCGTAAGAACCATTTAAATGGTTTCAAATAGACTGAAGGCACTCAGATATGTTTTGATTTAACCAAGTTAAAGAGCAAATTAATATTTCCAAGGCGTTTTTATTTTTTTTAATTTATAATTTTTCTTTTCTTTTTTTCTTTATTTTTCTAAACACTACAGGTAACCCCTGGCATGAGGAAATGAGGTTCTGCCAGCATTCGCAGCACTATAATTTCTGTCCCTGGAGGTTTGTCGAAGAGATGCTCCCTCTGTACATTGAAAAACAAAGCTGTACATGATATGTATTGCAAAATGTACGCAGCATGGTCACTTGTCAGAACGGAACTGGAAACAGCAATATTTGCTTTGCAACTAATTCAGGGACAATTGAAAGTAGCTATAAAACACACCGTACATGCTTCTATTAAAAAAAAATAAAAAATAAAAAAAACCAACATACACAACATGTAAATTATTGCACAAGAGAAAGGCTCAAAGTTTGCGTAAAATGCAATAGTATTGCCCCAATAAAGAACATGCATTCAAACGGTGAGAACGAAATATAAAAGAAAGAAAATTATAAAAAAAAAATTTAAAAAAAAATCAGGTGTGCTAGTGTTAAGCACATTCTTGTATCCTCGGGTTTCATTATTTTTTTTTTATTTTTTTTTTATCACAAGGGTCTAGAAAAAAAAAATCTACATGGGGTTTATTGATATACCTCTATTCAGTTTTTATATCATTATTCAAGACTCGATCACTGTGCCATTTTTTCATGTGTTTCTCCAGGGTACTGTACACGCTAAAAGGCATCTGACAAATTTCACATTTGTAAACGTCTTTTCCCACCTGACCATGTGTTTTCATGTGCCGGGTAAGTTTGCTACTCTGCGCGCAGGCGTAGTTGCAAAGCTCACACTTATAAGGTCGTTCACCAGTGTGGCTTCTCCTGTGAACAGTGAGGTTACTACAGTTCTTGAAGATTTTTCCACAGTACTCACAAGTATCACTGCGCTTCCCCTCTTTAGAACTGGGCCTTCCAGGCCCCGGCCCACTAATATGGGGAGTGCTTCCTCCACTTCCTGTGCCACTACGGCCTGAAATTCCCCCATCCATCTCTCCTGGAGGTGTAGAGAAACGTAAACTACCATTTTCAGATGAGTGCTCTGAGGAAGAGGCAAAAGGCGATTGTCTAGAGTCTCCAAAATTGAGGAATGGATCTTTTAGCTGCCTAGATGCGGCATAGCCAGCAAGCCACTGGGAGTAAACATTTTCTGCATTAGGCATAGCTGCAACAGGGAGATCAAATTCCTTCTCAAGTTTGATGCGTTTAGAAAAAGGGCTCATAGAACTCGGGCTACCAAGAAGCAATTTTTTTGACAAGCCTCCTGAGGCAGATTCACCAGGTGAACAACCCCTCCCATTTACAGTACACCGTCTATACGATCTGATTCTCCAGCCACTGAGTCTTCATCACAAGTGTCTCTTTGAGCTTCTGGTTCAGATAAATGCCCTCTTTTATGTTTCTCAACCAGTGCCTGATGAAAAGTATCACTAAAGTGATGCATTGCACCAAGGCCAACACCTTGCATGACATCAGGCATAGATCGACTTTCCTCGCCAGATCTAGAGTTGTTTTCATGGTGACGAGCAGCTTCAAGATTTAGGGCAAAACTATAATCTGGCCGGCTGTCCGTTTCTGTCAAATCCTCCTCCTCCTCCTCTTCTTCCTCCTCTTCCTCTTCTTCTTCTTCCTCCTCCTCTTCCTCGTCGCCATTCTCTGGAATCAGGTTTGGGTCATTTTCACTTTTAAACTTAGCTACTACAGACTTGAGGGCACTGCTTGCACTGCCAACTAAATCACTGGTTCCAGGCTCAGGAGAACTGGCAGTAGACAAACCATCATCCGATTTAACTGTCATTGGGGACGATTTATGCATGTGTGTTTTCATGTGGCGCTTGAGTTTGCTGGCTTGTGTACAAGCATGGTCACAAAGGTTGCACTTATAAGGTTTTTCTCCAGTGTGACTTCTACGGTGTACTACAAGATTGCTCTGAAATTTAAATGTTTTCCCACAAAACTCACAAGACTTTGATTTCATAGGAGGCTGAGAAGGAGGAGGTACAGACTGAAGAGGAGGAAGGGGTGGAGTTGCCAAAAATGGTGGTTTGCTGTTGGATTGGAATGGCTGCAGTAACCTTTGCATAGGGCTTGGCCGATTTGGAGACAAAGGCGGGCTGGAACTAGAAGTGTTTCCAGCTAACTCTCTAAGCCTCCGTGAAAAATCCATAGCTGGTGGCTCCATAGCCAGGGGGTTAAGTCGCAGCACCCTGTCAAAGGCACTCGGGTGATGTGTAGCGAGAGCCATTTCTTCTGCACCCAGGCGTTCTATGCGATGAGGATCCAAGTGATGTCTTGGCGGTGGGCTAAATAGTGGGGGAGTTGGTGGGAATCGACCCTCATTAAGACCAGACGCCTCTCTTGATACTGATCCAGGGATTCTCAATAAGTTAAAGGGATTATTGTCAGCAATATGAATTCCATGGAGTGGTGGCTGTGAGGGACATTCTGCACCCAGTCCTGATGGAATGCCTACCCGGGGTGTAAGTGGACTGCCATGTTCACTTTCCAGATAGATTCTGAAGCCATGAGTGTTCTGTGCATGTTGCAGGAGAAACCATGCACTGGAGAATGGCTGTTTACATGTTGTACATGTATAGCTGCTGGGCTCATCTTTGCCTGAAAAACAGCACAATAGTAACATCAATTATTAATCAGTTAACAAATCATCAAAAGTACAACAATAACTATAATTCTACTTTATTTAAGAAAAAACAGAAGCAAATAAACAGTGGGCATATACTAGTAGAAATATACTTTGATTTCAAATATTGACCACGGAACATTTTTGGCTCAAAAAGTATAGTTACAGTTACAACATTTAGAAGAATGTAAATATTCAGGATATATGGAAAAAAAAGATGTGATTGTTGTGGGTGAGATTTTAGTAATCCCATTAAAGACTATTAAACCAGCCATAGATGATGCGATTTTCTTTTCTTCATCCACAGTTTGCAGGAAAGAAAACTGTACTATTCCAATGGCTCATTGGGAGGTATTCCCCCATCAACACTGACTGTTGATGGGGGAATACCTCCCGCTGAGCCATTGGAGTTGACTTACTAAAGGTAAATAGGCTGGTCACTGCAAGTGCTCTGAATCTGAGGGGAACATGCAAAGAAAAAAAACAACAGCATTTTTGCTTGCACATGATTGGATGAAAGAAATCAGAAGAGCTTTGCCTCATTTCAGAGCTTCCCCTCGGATCTAAAGCAACTGCACTTGAAGTGCACTTTCAGGTGCACTTGTGGTACCTCGTAGTGCACTGTATATTTACCTTTAGTAAATCAACCCCGTTATGTTTTCCCAGTGGGGCAGAGGGGAAGCCATTCCAGTTTGGAGAACACAGTGATTACTGCTAGTGGCTATAATAGACACTAGCAATAATAGCATGTAAGATTCAACAGGATGGTTGCACCCAAGCTGATTGATTGATTGATTGATTGATCAGTCAACTTGGGTATTTTCACCCTGCCCATACATGGTTCGAATCTGCTGAACCGGAACTGTTTATGGCTAGCTTTACTCAGTCTCTCATCAACCTCTACTCAACAAAAGGTTACTCTTCGCTTTAGAGCAAAGGTGATGTTATTTTAAATATCTCTAGCACTGTGCATGCATAAGAACTCAATGTTATATTCATTCTCCGCCTATTATTGAGAGTTTTTATTGTAAGGAAAGTTGTAATTTGTTTAGTGGTCCTCTAAAGATGGAAGTTTACTAGACATTAGCAATACACTGTCACAGTTTAGTCAGACTAAAGACATAAACAAAACAATATGGTTTGCTGACTCAAATTATTGGCTACTACCCAAGAGCTCCTGATGCAAAACACATTCAGTGCACATTTTGTGTTCCTCTTGAAACTAATGTGACATTAGGAATAGGCACTTTTGAAAAATGAAAGAGTTAGGTTGCCTGCCAGGAAGTTGACTAGGGTAAAAAAGGAAAACTACTGGCTGTGTGCAAGCAAAGTGTCTACTGCCAAAACACAAAGAGATGTAACACATCATTTTCTCAAATTTAGGTCCAGATAAATGGTGATAAACCCAAAGAAAAAAATATTTAAAATCGGAACTCCAACCAAAACTTTTTTTTTTGTTCTGGATAGGTTTTTTGTGTCCCTGTTGACAAGATTTAAAGATGAACTCTGGGCAGATATAAACGCCTTGCATTTAGCAATACATCTTTGCTTTTTTTTTTTTTTTTTTTAATCCAAGCAGTTTAAGTACCTGAAACTGATTTAGTATCTGCGTCTTGTTAATCCCCTGTACAGCAGGGCTCACATGGGACGGATGAGAAGCAACACAAGGAGCCAGTCAGTTGTGCTGCAGTGGTCATGTGCTAACAAGAGCAAAGGGTTCATCGAAATGCATCAGTGTGCATCTTCTTCTCTACTGTCCAGCCTTCTCCTATACTATCCAGGCTGGGGGACAAGCCTTATCAGGGTACTTAACTGCAGCAGAGAAAAATCAGGTCCCCTCCACTGCCAGACTGGGCTGTGCACATCTCAGAACTGGATGATCAGAAATACAAATCCTTTGGCAGATAAGCCAGCTCCCCCTGCGTGTATTTCATCTGTGTATTTAGCTGTTTCCCTGGAGTTCAGTTTAAACTGCATTTCCTTTAGAATCACTTCAATAGGAAATGAAGGGAAATATTCCAAGATGGGACCCTACATTGTGCACTAAATAATATTTTTCTATTAGGGTGGGCAAGGCTTAGAACCTCTGCCTGACTTTTATTATATTATGTATCCTCATTTTCTGTCCTGGTGGCTGGAGTTCCGCTGTGATTCCTATATAGAAAATCAGACATATTGTTATTGGAGATCTGGCATTGGAGTGTTTGTGAATAGACTCTCATTTTCTGACGGTTAAAGAACTATCTTATATTTACTAGAACAGATCAAAGCCATTTATTACGGTCAAAATACGCTAATTCTGAGGAAGAGAAAAAAATATACCAGTGTTATAAATGAAAGCATATTTTCAGTGGAGGGGTGCTTAGCTATAGAGCATGCTTCTGACCTGACCTGTAATTTACTTTGCAATGCATTTTAATCTCATTAAGTGTATCCTGCTCTTGGATAAATCTCTTTACAAGATTAGGTCATACACAGGGAAATTAGGTTTTAAACATTTGCCTAATGTAAAATGTGAAAAGTAGCAAGATTTTCAAATAAAATATTACTGACCCCAGAGCAATACTGTGCAGTCTTCTTGTTGAATTAGGTTTGCATTTAAGTGAAACCCTGGACACTTTTCTTTTTTTAGTTTTTTTAATAGAGGGGAAAAGGTCAGAACCTCCACTGAAAATTAGATTGAAGAAGGGAAAAGGATGAGAATGCCAGTCCTTACACTGTATGTGTCCAGATTAAATGTTATTATTTGTTGCATTCAGTAAAATCACCAATGTGTTTCAGGGTTTCAGAGGTCTGATCCCTTCCTCTGGGCTGGAATGCACAAGGGCTAGAATCTGGACTCAAAAGTTTTTGTGTACACTGCAGAATTTGAAAGGCTAACAGTATGTTTTCCAGCTCTCTGTTCAGCAGCTATCAAATGGAACGCTAGAATAGATACTCTTAGCCTTTCAAATTTCTTGCTGTACACACCAATTCGGCCCTGCTGAACCCCAGCACTGATGAAGGCGGACCTCTGAAGCCCCAAAACATGTTGGACGTTTGGACACATATAGGTGGACTGGCGATCTCCTCCTTTACCCTTCTCTTATGCTTTTAGAAGAACCAACTTGGTGGCTCTTGTAGGATTAGACAGTTGCCTGTAGATTCACATACATTTTGACCAACTAAGACTACAACTTCCCCTAGAGATCTAGCGTTCCTCCTTGTCCTCACCATAATATAGAAATATATTGCAGTCTCTGGGTTGATTGAAAAAACTCTTCTCAGAGTTGTCACTGGGACTAGAAGTGAGAAAATCTCTCCAACAGAGACACAGTAGCAACAAAAACACTTTTTTTCAATCAACTGAGACAAAGCTGAAAGCCTTGTCATATATTCCCTTGTGTGTACATGACCGAAGGAGATTTTATCTCCCTTCCTGTCCCAATGGCAAAGTTTCATTAGGAAGGGTAATCACTCCAACAGGGATGCAGAAAGCAATTTGGGGCTCTACCCTTATTGCTATGAAATCTTAACTTTTAGAATATTAAAGTTCATGGCTATATTCAGTCTTCGGGTTAAGCCGATCATATATGGATAAAAATTCGGCCAGCTCAGCATGGACTAGCTAAATTTTGATCCATGTATGGACACCCTCGGTGTATAAAAGTTGATCTATCAATCGACTTGTGTGTACACCCAGCCTATTGGGTTTTTTCCAAACAATTAGTGCCACCGACTATAGCCAACAACACTGATCATTCTGTTATGCCAACAGAAAAGGCTCCCCGCACTCCCCGCCAGCAGAACACAAAAGTGCTGTGGGAAGGATTCACCCATGAACACTGACTTTGTCGATGAGGAAATCAAGCAATTTTCTTTCCTTCAAACCATGAGAAATATGTGTTGCAGCACTTAAGCTTAAGGTTTTAAAACAACACTTTTAATTCCCACAATAGTTTACATATACTTTATACTGAGTAATTACGACTTTATATGTGAAACCAGGTCTTAATCCTCTACACCAGAGGTGTCAAACTGGCGGCCCTCCAGCTGTTGCAAAATTACAAGTCCCATCATGCCTCTGCCTTTGGAAGTCATGCTTGTACCTGTCAATCTTGCAATGCCTCATGGGACTTGAAGTTTGGCAACAGCTGGAGGGCCACCAGTTTGACACCAGTGCTCTACACGTACTCTCATGTGAAAGTTTGGGACAATCTTCTACTGGCCACTATAAAGCCTATACTTAATAAACTCTGTGTGTAGTTTTATTTTGCATTTCTCACCAGGATTTATTATGCATTGATCTCTACACCAAAGTGGAAGACAGGGGCGGACTGACCAATTGGAAACTCGGG